ATACGACGAGTGGTGGAGGCGCGGAGGAGTCGTCCCTGAAGCTTTCAAGCCCAACGTAAATTACAAGCAATAGATATATCCTAACCGGTCCGCGGCGCGGCTTATTTATGGACATCGCTTATTGAATGCACCGTATGCGAGCGCATCGTGCGCATCGCCGCCGATGCTGCGTGGAGCGCATTACGTCGCATCGGCCGTGCGCGGATCGCGCGTGACGAATCGAAGGGCCGCCATGTGGGTTCCGCGTGCATTCCGGATTGGGGGTCTCGCCGATGCGATCGTCGAGAAGACCATCGCACCGTTCGTCTCCATCCCACCTCTACCCTGTCCGTCCTCCTCACTCGCGCGCGAAATAACACGCATAATGCAATGCCGTTTAACCGAGTACCGCCTAACGTTACGTTTACACTTCCTGAAACAAGACGCGGCGTCTCGGCACGTTACATCGTGCCTTCATTCGCACACAGAGCGATACGAGAAAGTGATCTTCCGGGACGTTACGTTCTCCGTCTTTCCTTTCTGGGCCACGTGTTCGCTCGCCTCGCACTCCGATCCTGTCTGTCCCAAGTGACATGTTCATTGGACTCGACAGGTGCGGTATATTGTGTTTTATGATTCATCGGTATTGGTCGCATCGCCCACTCAATTACAGGCCGGAAATACACTATTTTCCGACTGTGTATATCGAGGAACAATTCTCCGTCTTTTTTTTATCGGGCCACGTGTTTGCCACCTCGCACTTCGAGTTTGTTTAGCTGCGCTCGGAAGTGTCAACGAGAGATCTCGGTGGCGAGTGGCTGACAGTCATTTCGCGGTGGGCGCCACGCGGCCCGGTTTCTGTCAAGACCTCAATTTCCGTCCAGACCACGAAGCGTCGACGGAACCACAGCGACAGTGATTACCTGTTTATTATGCCGACCGACGACAGATCCGATCCTAGAACGCGCGAGTTATTTTAAATAAGAGTCCCCCGCACGGTCTCTCGTTAAAGAACAACAAATATTCGACGCATTTGGTGCTTTTTCACGCGGAGCGAATAAGTCGTGGACGTTTACGATCCTGTTTGGACTTCGGGGAGTTTCTAATTCGTCAGAGATACTTATAACACTTGGCTGTATCAACATCTTATTACACTATGTTTCTATCACCTTAAATACCGTCGTGTCTTTCTTTCGAATTCGCCGGTATAACTTTTGCTTGCAAATATCTATTGCATTGATATTAGAAATATGATATATTATTAATTGATATTTAAAATATGATATATTAATCTAGTAAGAAAATGTGAATGTAACTTTATACGGGATATATAAAGCAACCTCCCGAATGCTACCTGCATCTAATTAACTAGATTTTAAAATTACCCTTGACTGCGGTTAGCCTTCTGATTATTTCGTGTCTGAGCGGATTACAACATTTCTTACTGTACTTGATCGGTATGCATTTTGCGCGGTCCAAAGTTTCTTCGAGGGCCCTCGCGTCCCTCTTCCCACGAAGGGCACACCGTGAACGCATTTAAACGTTTTTCTGCGCGATGCTCGATCGATCGAGACGCGAATTCTTTCACAGGCTGGACTCGCGCGGCAGCTTGATTTATATACATATAGGGTGTACCAAAAAGCAGGCACTTTCTCCAAACTGCGACATAAAAAAATGATTTTTAAAAAATAATAATATCTCTACATTATCGATATTAAAATCATTAATAATTTTCCACTTGTAAGTAATTAACATTTATAAATAACTAATGATTTGAATGATTTATACCAACGTATTGTAAAATATCTCAATTAGAATTATTTGAAAAGAATTCTGATTTGGATCTTAGTCATGAATAAAAAACAACAAAGTGTATACCTCGAAAGGTAAGAAAGTTGCCTTTTATCATGTATTCCTTACAGAAACATTAACCTTCAACTCATCGAAAAATGTACTCCAAATCCGCCAACGTTAACACACCCTGTAGATACAACATATATATATACACGACGAGCTACCGCTGATCGAAACTGCTGAACCAGTTTCGTCTTTCGTGCTAATCCACCTTCATCGTTCCTCGTTCTCTCGCGCTGCCCGTTCTCTCCTGAAAGCGCACCTTTTTACGCGCGAAATCGGCGTTTCGACGGCGACGAAACTTCTGTTGAACGCACGTACCCATAAGTCACGGCATCAAACGTCTCGCGAGAAAGTTTTGGCGATAGACCAAGTGCGTTTTTAAATTAAATAAGCCTAAAAAAATATGTAAAACACGTAGGGGGCATCTTAAAATAATCATTAAATGTTTAACCGCAGCTCCATTTTTATTCGGGAAAGTTACCTCCCTCCCAGATCGATCGCACCTGTCACGCCCGTGGCGTCAGATAGGACAAATGCAATCGCGGCGGATGACGAGGCGCATTATCGTTCGCGGAATTGCCGCGTAATTAAAATTTATTCGCGCGATATGGCCCGCGATATACCTTGCGCGTTACATTACGACGGCCATGTAATACGCGACACCCATGATAACGACGCGCACGGCGCTCGCCAGAACGAACACACACAGGAGCTCATTAAGGGAATTTACTGGCGATCGCGTTGCATTAAGCTCTTTGCCGGGGCCGGAGCTAGGCTTCAAGCGCAAGCCGAACGCGGCTGCATATAAATTGATAATTTCACGAAAGCGCACATACGATGTGCGCTTTAATGCCCATGCCGAGGATACGATCAGGATTACGCTCCTCCTCCCCCCCCCCTCCCCGCGAACGAGGGGAGCACCGCGTATCGCCGGATCACGGGAGTAATTTTACTCAAAGGCTCTTCATTAACACGATCCCTGTTTGAAAACACGTCCTTAACGCTCCACGTCCGCCTGACGCCGTTGGAAGTTTCTTCCCTCGAGTTCAGCCGTGCCTATCTTTTTTCTTCAATGAAAATCCCGAATGATTGTTCAGGCTGAATACGGATTTTAATAGTCGCACTCAAAGCCACTTCTCGATGGCTTCGATCTGACAAATTATAAGAAATGGCTCTCTCGATAAGTCCTTCTTCTTTCTCCTATGTATTTTTTAAATTAACCTTTCTTTTGTCGTTTTTGTTATGTATTACTTTTATTTTTATTAATTATTCGCTTATGAGTATCTTGTCACAAGTATTTTTTTTTACGTAATTTTTTTTTACGTGGAGAATACAAAAATTATATCAGTTTTTTTTCTTTATTTTTTTTTAGGGGTATCGCAAAAGCGGGCGAACCCAACAACTTTTTACCGATGTCAGCAGCTTCCATACATATGGAACCAATTTACACAACTTTGAGAAGAAAGCAGAGGAGGCTCGCTAGGGAAAATCCAGGAGTGCTGATGGCAGTGGCAAGGGGTGCGAATCAAGCTATCGCCGAATGCCAACATCAGTTTCGCAACCGGCGATGGAATTGCTCGACGAAGAATTTTCTTAGAGGAAAAAATCTCTTCGGCAAAATCGTCGACAAAGGTGAGCTAATTAATAAATCTGAAACAATAATATACACAATGAAAAATTGATTATCGGATAAAAATAATAACTATTATTAAAATAATAACTATTACGAAGATATTTTTACGATAATTTGTCTATGAAATTATGTCGCCTGACATTATTAAATTCTCTCAAAAATTCAACAGTCGATTCCACTAATCATTACTTTCATAAAAAATAACGTATCTAAATTATCACGACGATAAATATAATAAAATTATAAATCATAAATTGTAGTAAAGAAGCGATAAATAAATATTATCTCCTTGGCTTCGTGGGATTGAAAGTTGATAAAATGATATGTAAACTACTTGAAGATACGTTATTCTTTTACGTTTTAAAGACCGTCCATCGATTCACGGACGTGTTGCGATATAACCGGTACTCCCGATAGAGATTTACTGGCGACAAGTTTCAGCGGAGAAAACGAGAGAAATAAGAAGCGAGAGAGAAGTCCGATTACGGCCGTTAAGATCGCGAGTGACAAATCTGTCGATTTGCTTAAGCCAACACAAGCTCGAGACGTCTCGTAACACTCGGTAGATTAAGTAATAAGGCCGTCATCTCGTCATCGCAATGCGTCATCGTTGAGCGAACGACACCTTCGAGATAAGCCATGGATTCAGCGGATGTTAGAGCCAATTTAAAACGACATCACTGGCCTCTTATCTGGTCGAAAAGCGTGTTACTTCGAATGGATCATATTTCTCCTAACTTTACGTTTGTTATCTCAATTACATACAATCATGCAATAAAACTTGTGGATTTATTTATTGTGCGTACGAGTTTGAGATACGATTAAAGATGAAAGGTGTGTAAATTGCCATACAAATTGCATGATAATTTCAATAAGATATAATTAATTAACAAAACATATAGTATATTTATTAATATAAACAAATTCTTTTTGTGTATATTTGTGTAAATTTTTTTTCTTTATTTATGTAAAATTTAGATAACAAATTTTTAGAAGTGAATATATGAGAGATGCTATTAGGTATAATAAATATTCGCTGGGTTATTCTATTGCTATTGAAAACTGCGAGACACCCGCGGTGCTTTCGATAAGGCACATTAACACCTCATTCGAATGCGAAACGATCGCATAGATCGAGTGCATAGAGCGCGAAGACTCGAAGTCGTCGTGGGGTTAGAAGGACGAGGGCACTAGCGCTGACGCGACGAGGAGAGAAGAGAGGACAGGGGAGCCTTAGGGGGCGTGCCCTTCGTCCGAAGGCTCCGGGCACGTGCCCTCACCGGCCAGATGTATGTTTTGCAACCTGATAATGGACCTTCTCGTACCAGTTCTGGCTCCCCTGCGGCTCTTTTAGATCTCGTCGAGGCGATTGTAAGCCGAGCTTTTTCGCTCGAGCCGCTCCCACCCCATTACGTCGAATGTCCCCATATGGCCACTTAGTAAAACTAAAAGAAGTACAAGAGTAGAGATAGAGAGAGAGAGAGAGAGAGAGAGGAGGGGGAGGGGGACGAAAGGAAAAGGG